GCTTCGTACTCCAGGATATCTGGCTCTAGGTGAGTGATCACACCATCGTGGTTACAAGGGTCATTAAGATCTTTTTTGTAGATTTTGTACACAATTTGTACACAGGAAACTGGGCTGCTACCTGACACTGTACACAAAATTAACTCAAAATGGATTAAAGACTCCATATGAGATGAAAACACATAAAACTTACAGAAGACAATGCAGACAGTAAGCTCCTTGACATCATTCCAGGCAATAGTTCTTTGGATCTAACCCCAAAAGCAATGGCAAGAAAAGCAAAAACAATCCAATGAGTCTGCATCAAACATAAAAGCCTTCTTCACAGTGAAGGAAACCATGAACAGAATAAAAAAGGCAACCTAAAGAATGGGAAAAGATATTTACAAATCATTATATACAAAAATTTACAAAAACAATATCCAAAATAAAGAACCCATATAACTCAATAACAAAACAACAAACAATCCAACTGAAAACAAGTAAAAGTTCCAAATAGACAATCTTTTGAAGAAGACATACAGATGGCCAACAAACACGTGAAAAGATGTTCAACATGACTAATTATTAGAGAAATGCTAATCAAAACCAAAAGTATCACCTCATATTTTGCCACAGTGGCTTTTATCAAAAGAACAAGAAATATTAAGTGTTGGCAAGAATGTAAAGAAAAAAGAACATATGCACAGCTCATGGGAAAGGAAATTGGTGAAGACACTATGAAAATCATATGGAGATTCCTTCAAGGATTGAAAGTAGAATTATTATATAATCCAGCAATTCCAATTCTTGGTGTCTATCTGGAGACGACGAAAACACTAATTCAAAAAGATATATGCACCTATATGTTCATTGCAGCCTTATTTACAATGGCCAAGATATGGAAACAGCCTAAGTGTCCATCAATGGAAAAATGAATAAAGAAGACGTAGTATCATAAACACAACGCAACTCTACCCAGCCATAAGAAAAGAATGAAATCTTGCCATTTGTAACAACACAGATGGACGCTGAGGAAGTTATACTAAGAAAATAAGTCACACAAACAAAGACACATACTGTATGTGGGATATTTTTTAAAAAGCAAATGAACAAACAAAACAGAACTTATAGAAAAAGGACTGGTGTTTGCCAGAAAGGATAAGGCTTGAAAGGTGGGAAAGAGGGTGAAGGCAATCAACAGGTTAATTTCCAGCTATAAAATAAATTAGTCATGCGGATGTAATGTACAACATTGTGAATATGGTCAATAACATTACACTGCAAATTTGAAAATTACGAAGAAAATAAATCTTAAAAGATCTCATCACAAAGAAATAATTGTAACTTTGTATAATGATCAATGGTAATTATAATTACTGTGATCGAAATGTATACAGATGTCATATCATCATATTGTACACCTGAAAATAATGTAATATATGTCATTTATACTTCAATTTTAAAAATCATGAAAATTAAACATATTTAAAAAGGAAAATAAATGAATAGAATAAAATTAGTTTCCAGTATGTTGGGAAACCAAATGAGTCTATTTTAAAACAAATCTAGCAATAGAGGAGGTTTAATACAAACCTCCACTCAGAAGGTAAACAAATGTACATAAGGAGCATTCCCATGGAGCACTCTGTCCCAAGGAACTTTGTCTGCTAACTCATCTGAGATAACCATAAATGGGCTGTTGGAAAATAATGCCCAAGGGTCTCAGGAATATAATAAAATGGCACACCCACAGGACACTCTTGATATTATCTACTAAGGTCTTCCTAAGCTGGGCTTTGTTCTTTGTGGCAGCTTTTTATCAAATGGAAAACTCACACATCTGAAGATATTTCTTAAATACTCATTTGCATACTCCAGTGTCTCATCCTTCTCTGAAAATTTGAAAAATTCAAGTGCATTCCTTGACATCTCACACTTCTTTTTCTTAAGTGATATATATCAAAATAAGGGTAAGTAAAAAGACTCTTGTTTTAAAATCTACCCATTCTTAGGGAAGGTTGGAATGTGTGTACATCATAGTGCCAAATATTCGAAGGAAAACCAGAAAGCATTTCAATTCTGAGCACCTTCTTTAAACACTGGAAATAACTAGTTTGGTATTGTAGAAGGAAACTAGATTTTTCTCTGTAATCAAACTCATTCTCTCATTTGAATCTACACTAAAAACATGTACATTTTAATAAACACTTTAAAAGTGTGAAAGTGAAGTCACTCAGTTGTGTCTGACTCTTCGCAACCATATGGACTGTAGCCTGCCAGGCTCCTCCATCCATGGGATTTTCCAGGCAAGAATACTGGAGTGGGCTGCTGTTTCCTTCTCCAGGGGATCTTCCCAACCCAGGGATGAATCCTGGGTCTCCTGCACTACAAGCAGACTCTTTACCATCTGAGCCACCAGGGAAGCCCAATAAACACTAAATCTGACAAATATTAAACACCTGAATTAAATGTGTAGCTTGTATTCAATTATGTGAACATTTTTAATATGTAGTATAAATCTGGAGGATAAACTTGTCTACATGATTGATTCAGATGTTTTGAAATCAGATAAAAAATTTTCTTTCTTCAATAATCTTTTTCCACATATAACTTTAAAGTCACTGTAAATATAAATAAAATACTGTGTAATGAAAATTATATAGTAAAAGATATACTATAATAAAATTTAGTGGACATTAAACCTTCACAGATAAAGAGATCCCTATGTGGTTAAACAGTGATGGAAAAATCACTGGAAGTACTTCAAAAGTTGGATAAAAATGTCATGATATTTGAGATTTAAAAGTAAAGAAATATCATGGAATCACATGGAAAAGACGGGAAAGAGACCTAGGATAGGATTAGAGCACTTAAACATACAGTTTGGGAATCTTTAAATTTGAATTTTTACTCTCATTATCTCCTACCTGATTGAAGAAATTGATTGCTTTTTGATCTTTAGAACATTCATAGTAGTTAGGCTACAATAGGGATAAATGACTAATAATATCTTAAAATATGGATACTAATGTTTCCTTTCTCATCAGGTTTAGGGATAGATACTAAATGAGTTAATGGATGTAAAATGCTTCCTGTGTTGTCTGACACACAGCACTCATTAAGGATTAGTTGGAATTATTATTTTATTAATGTATTTCACACACCTGACCTGGGGTAGTGTGAAATCAAAGAGCCATGGTGACATCTTGGCCCTGAGTAACCTTATGTGACACTTCCCAGAATGGCTTTGAGGATTTGATGAACTAGCGAATGTGAAAACTCTGCTCTGCAACCCTACAAATGTAATCTGTTACCCCTAAACTGATAAGTCTCCTATCCTGAATAGGAGTAAAGATTTTACTCCTGATCCAGTTCCCTAGACATAAAGATTGGATTTGTAGCTACTTTGCCAACAAAGGTCTGTCTAGTCAAAGCTATGGTTTTTCCTGTAGTCATGTATGGATATGAGAGTTGGACTATAAAAAAAAGCTGAGCACTGAAGAATTGATGCTTTTGAACTGTGGTGCTGGAGAAGACTCTTGGAGTTCTTGGACTGCAAGGAAATCCACCCAGTCAATTCTAAAGGAAATCAGTCCTGAATAGTCATTGGAAGGACTGATGCTGAAGCTGAAACTCCAATACTTTGGCTATCTGATGCAAAGAACTGACTCATTTGAAAAGACCCCGATGCTGGGAAAGATTGAAGGCAGGAGAAAAAGGGGACGACAGAGGATAAGATGGTTGGATGGCATCACTGACATGAGTTTGAATAAACTCCAGGAGTTGGTGATGGACAGGGAAGCCTGGCATGCTGCAGTCACAAATAGTAGGACACAACTGAGCAACTGAACTGACAGTTAGCTAAGTCATTGATAACTATCCAAATTCATATGTACAAAAGGATAAGCCCACTCAATAAAGAAAAATTCCTGCAAGATAGATGACTGAACTTTAACATGAAAAAACCAATTGCCCAGTTTAAATGAAGTCATTGTGCAAGAAAATTTACATTCCAAAACAAAATTCTGAGTACAGGAAAACATGTCACAGCTAAATCCTCTGTATTTATATTTCAGGACACTGGCACAAAAATGTTTAAATTTCTTTTTCAATTACAAATTACTACGATGGATTTGAATAAAACCTGCCTTATCTGTTCCTATGAGGATGATGTAACTCTTCAACTATAATAATATACTTGTATCTGAACAAGGCTACCTTGATGATGCTTAAGTGCAGGGTTTTCTCCACCTCTTTCTTGTGCTAAAGCTATAGCTATAGCTAACAGTTTTAGTCTTAATATTTCAGTAATGCCTTGCAGCAGTGATTCTGAAAAGGAACTATCTGATTCCTAGGCCCCATGTCACATCTACTCTACTAGACATTTGAATATAGGAACCAATAAACTTCATTTTAACTGCATCTTCAGCTGGTAAGTATGCAAACATAGTATGAAAAGCATTCCTTTGGAAAATCTGAAGCACAGTCATTTCTACTTGACATTTAACCCTCACCATAGCCCAAGGATATAGTTACTGTATCTTTATTATACACAAAAGAAAATTCAACTTCAAAAAGGTTAGATTACTTAAGGTTTACTTAAGGTTACCTTTATTTTGTAGACTGTTGAAAAGAAATTAAGTCACCTAGTGTCACATTCATTTCATTAGTCCTCGCCTCCAGTTCAGACGGTAAAGCATCTGCCTACAATGTGGGAGACCTGGGTTCAATCGCTGGGTCGGGAAGATCCCCTGAGAGGGAAATGGCAACCCACTCCAGTACTCTTGCCCAGAAAATCCCATGGATGGAGGATCCTGATAGGCTACAGTTCATGGGGTCACAAAGAATCAGACACAACTGAGCAACTTCACTTTGACTTTTTACCAGTTAGTTACTGTACTCAACCTCCTATGACTGGATGCTTAATTGTGCGAGATACAAAATTGTGTTTAATCATCTCTCAAAATTTTTCTACCTTTTTGCTACTTCCCTGCTATAGGTGAAACAAATTGAAGATAATGGAACCAAATAACAAAAGCCATCCCAACGAGTTCATTCTACTAGGCTTTGCTGACCGTCCTTGGCTAGAGCTTCCTCTATTCATTATTCTGCTTATAACATACCCCATGGCCATGATGGGAAACATAGCCATCATTCTGGTGTCCAAGTTAGACCCCCGTCTGCACAGCCCCATGTATTTCTTCCTCACCAACCTCTCCTTTTTGGACATGTGCTACACCACAAGCATTGTCCCTCAGATGCTCTTTAACCTGGGAACGTCTAAGAAGACTATCAGCTATATGGGGTGTGCAGTTCAGCTTTATTTCTTCCACATAATGGGGGGCACAGAATGTCTGCTTTTGGCTGTTATGTCTTTTGATCGCTACGTGGCCATCTGCAAGCCTCTACACTATACCCTCATCATGAATCAGTGCGTCTGTATCTTATTAGTGGCCACCGTGTGGCTGAGTGGAATGATCTATGCTGTCTCAGAAGCCACTGTCACATTACAGTTACCACTGTGTGGTCACGATACCCTGGACCACTTGCTGTGTGAGATTCCTGTTCTGATAAAGACTGCCTGTGGTGAAAAGCGTGCTAATGAACTCACACTCTCAGTGGTATGCATTTTTTTCTTAGCTGTGCCACTGTGCTTAATTCTTGTTTCCTATGCTTGCATTGGACATGCTGTATTTAAGATTAAATCTTTGGAGGGAAGGAAAAAAGCCTTTGGGACATGTTCCTCCCATCTCATTGTAGTTTTCTTATTTTATGGCCCAGCCATTAGCATGTACCTTCAGCCCCCCTCCTCCATCTCAAGAGACCAGCCCAAGTTCATGGCTCTCTTCTATGGAGTGGTGACTCCTGCACTCAACCCTTTCATCTACACTCTGAGGAATAAGGATGTAAAGGGGGCACTGGGCAACCTCATGAGGAGTGTATTCACTTGCAAGTGAGAGTTAGCAGACATCAAATGAAATTATTTAACCATTGAGGTAGGTTTTATAGAGGTTTCTTTAATAACTCACTCTAGCCTCATATGTTCACAGATCATGTTAGATGTTCTTTTTGCAAATATGTCAAGTTCCTCATATTCCTGCTGCTGCTGCTGCTGCTGCTATGTCACTTCAGTCGTTTCCGACTCTGTGCTACCCCATAGACAGCAGCCCACCAGGCTCCTCTGTCCCTGGGATTCTCCAGGCAAGAACACTGGAATGGGCTGCCATTTCCTTCTCCAATGCATGACAGTGAAAAGTGAAAGTGAAGTTGCTCAGTCATGTCCGACTCTTAGCGACCCCATGGACAGCAGCCTACCAGGCTCCTCCATCCATGGGATTGTCCAGGCAAGAGTACTGGAGTGGGGCGCCATTGCCTTCTCCCTTCATATTCCTAGACAATGGTAATTCTTGGCTAATACTCACCAGTAAGGGCATTCTGTGGAGATGCATTAGAAAATCATTCTATTTTGGTTGATACATACTGAAATAGTAGTTGTAAACATTAAACAAATGTACTATGAATTACAATAAAAACTAATTATTTCAAGTTAATCATAAAATACCATGACAAGCATCCATCAGTGGACTTCCTATGACCATGGCACCTAAGAAATATTTCATCACTCTCTGCAAGACTGGGCACATCTAAGTGGTCAGCATGGTGCCACTGTGCATTCAGTGTGAGGCTCTCTACACCTTAGACCAACTATGAGTATCACAAGTTTATCGGCTTCCATTTATCTAGAAAGAAAGTGAAGTCGCTCAGTCATGTCCGACTGTTTGCAACCCCATGGACCAGGCTCCTTCGTTCGCGGGATTTTCCAGGCAAAAGTACTGGAGTGGGTTGCCATTTCCTTCTCCAAGGGTTCTTTCCAACCAGGGATCGAACCCGGGTCTCCCACACTGCAGGCAGACATTTTACCATCTGAGCCACCAGGTAATCCTGCTACAGATTCTTTAACAACACATTGTTACTCTAACAAACACATAGCAATGTTTTGTATTTTTAGCCAAAGAATGTATCATTAAATGCTAAAATAAATAAAATATATGGACAAAATGTGTGGCTTTCTTAATGTTCTTCATATGTATCAAAAACATGAGCCTTCTGAATCAGTGAGAGAACAAGAAAGTGATATTAATAATGAACTACAACATGGAAACATTTTCATGCATAATGGGAACAGCCAGGAATGTTTTTTGAAACTGCAAGAATCAGGATGAAAAGAAAAAATTTGTATTTCTAGACTGGAAAGCAACTTGATTAACAATGTGATTATAGTTTTGGTGCTTAGAATCTGTATCAGTAAAAGTTGAAACCATTAAAATGAGTTCTAGGATTCATATCCAACTTCAAATTCTGTCATAAAACCTCGCATTTTTTTATTTTATTTTATTTATTTATTTTGAGTTCTTTTTTATATAAATGTATTTATTTTAATTGGAGGCTAATTACTTTACAATATTGTAGTGGTTCTGCCATACATTGACATGGATCTGCCATGGGTGTACATGTGTTCCCCATCCTGAACCCCCTTCCTACCTCCCTCCCCAGCCCATCTCTCTGGGTCATCCCAGTGCACCAGCCCTGAGCGCCCTGTCTCATGCATCGAACCTAGATTGGAGATTCATCTCACATATGAATATATACATGTTTCAATGCCATTCTCCAAAATCATCCCACCCTCGCCCTCTCCCACAGAGTCCTAAAGACTGTTCAATGCATCTGTGTCTCTTTTGCTGTCTCACATACAGGGTTATCATTACCATCTTTCTAGATTCTATATATATGTGTTAGTATAGTGTATTGGTGTTTTTCTTTCTGGCTTACTTCACTCTGTATAATAGGCTCCAGTTTTCCCCACCTCATTAGAACTGATTCAACTGTATTCTTTTTAATGGCTGAATAATATTCCAATGTGTATATGTACCATGGCTTTCTTATCCCTTCATCTGCCCATGGACATCTAGGTTGCTTCCATGTCCCAGCTATTATAAACAGTGATGCAAGGAACATTGGGGTACACGTGTCTCTTTTGACTTCTGGTTTCCTTGGTGTGTATGCCCCAGCAGTGGGATTGCTGGGTCATATGGCAGTTCTATTTCCAGTTTTTTAAGGAATCTCCACACTGTTCTCCATCGTGGCCATACTAGTTTGCGTTCTCATCAACAGTGTAAGAGGATTCCCTTTTCTCCACACCCTCTCCAGCATTTATTGTTTGTAGACTTTTGGATAGCAGCCATTCTGACTGGCGTGAAACGAACCTCATTGTGAGTTTCATTTGCATTTCTCTGATAATGAGTGGTGTTGAGCATCTTTTCATGTGTTTGTTAGCCAGTTGTATGTATTCTTTGGAAAAATGTCTGTTTAGTTCTTTGGCCCATTTTTTGATTGGGTCGTTATTGAGCTGCAGGAGTTGCTTGTGTATTTTTGAGATTAATTCTTTGTCAGTTGCTTCATTTGTTATTATTTTCTGCCATCCTGAAGGCTGTCTTTTCACCTTGCTTATAGTTTCCTTTGTTGTGCAAAAGCTTTTAAGTTTCATTAGGTCCCATTTGTTTATTTTTGCTTTTACTTCCAATACTCTGGGAGGTGGGTAATAGAGCATCCTGCTGTGATTTATGTCAGAGAGTGTTTTGCCTATGTTTTCCTCTAGGAATTTTATGGTTTCTGGTCTTATGCTTAGATCCTTAATCCATTTTGAGTTTATTTTTGTGTATGGTGTTAGAAAGTGTTCTAGTTTCATTCTTTTACAAGTGATTGCCCAGTTTTCCCAGCACCACTTGCTAAAGAGATTGTCTTTTCTCCACTGTATATTCTTGCCTCCTTTGTCAAAGATAAGGTATCCATAGGTGCGTGGACTTATCTCTGGGCTTTCTATTTTGTTCCATTGATCTATATTTCTGTCTTTGTGCCAGTACCATACTGTCTTGATGACTGTAGCTTTGTAGTAGAGCCTGAAGTCAGACAGGTTGATTCCCCCAGTTCCATTCCTCTTCCTCAAGATTGCTTTGGCTATTCAAGCTTTTGTATTTCCATACAAATTGTGAAGTTATTTGTTCTAGTTCTGTGAAAAACCTCACATTTTTAAAGCAGCTTAAAGAATTTTACATTTATTTGGTGTTTAACTAACATGGTGAGAAATCAACATAAGGCTGTATAGTGAAAAATTAACAGGTAAGAATAACAAGAGAGAATTGGACTTTTCTGGCATGTCTTCTGGTCTAGCAAATCAAGATTTAAGCAAATTATTGGATGATAAATCATACGCTTTCCTGAACAAGGTTTTCCTGAACAAGCAACTCTGGCAGGCATGGGGTTTTGATTCTAAACGCAATTTCACCCCTCCTACCATCATCTTGGGGCTTCTCCTTTGCCCCTGGACATGGGGTATCTTTTTTTGGTGGGATCCAACACTCTTCTGTCAATGGTTGTTCAGCAATGAGTTGCAATTTTGGAGTTCGTGCAGAAGATGAGCACTTGTCTTTCTACTCCACCATCTCAGTAACTCAGTATTCTTGCCTTGAGAACCCCATGAACAGTATGAAAGGCAAAACGATATGATATTGAAAGATAAATTCCCCAGGTCGGTAGGTGCCCAATATGCTACTACAGAAGAGTGGAGAAATAGCTCCAGAAAGAATGAAGAGACGGAGGCAAAGCAAAACAAACAAAAAACTCCCAATTGTGAATGTGACGAGTGATGGAAATAAAGTCTGATGCTGTAATGAACAATATTGCATAGGAACCTGGAATGTTAGATCTATGAATCAAGGTAAATTGAAAGTGGTTAACAGGAGATGGCAAGAGTGAAAATCGACATTTTAGGAATCTGTGAACTAAAATGAACCGGAATGGGTGAATTTAATCCAGATGACCATTATATCTACTACTGTGGGCAAGAATCCCTTAGAAGAAATGAACTGACCATCATAGACCACAGAAGAATCAAAAGTGCAGTACTTGGGTGCAATCTCAAAAATGACAGAATAATCTGTTCATTTCCAAGGCAAACTATTCAATGTCACAGTAATCCAAGTCTGTGCCCAACCACCAATCTAAAGAAGCTGACATTGAACAGATCTATGAAGACCTACAAGACCTTTGAGAACTAACAGCAAAAAAAAAAAAAAAGTACTTTTCATCATATGGGACTAAAATGCAAAAATAGGAAGTCAAGAGATACCCGGAGTAACAGTAACAGAGTAGTGGCCTTGGAATGTAAAATGAAGCAGGACAAATGCTAAGAGAGTTTTGCCAAGAGAATACACTGGTCATAACAAACACCCTCTTCCAACAACACAAGAGACTATTCTACACATAGACATCACCAGATGGTCAATATTGAAATCAGATTGATTATATTCATTGCAGCCAAAGATGGAGAAGTTCTATACAGTCAGCAAAAACAAGACCAGGAGCTGACTGTGGCTCAGACCATGAACTCTTTATTGCAAAATTCAGACTTA